ATTGTCCACCTCCTTTGAGACAGGGTTTCTCCTTTGGCTTGGAACTCAACAATCAGACTATGCTGATCAAGGGGTTCCCGAGATCCTTGTGTCTCTGCCTCCCTAGCATTAGGATTACAGAGCTGACTCAGCTTGGCTGGCCCCAAGATAGCTAGATCCCTGACCCCAGCAAGGAAGAGCTGGCCCTGTTCCTAATAGGAGAGCTGCCCCCCAACACTCTCCCCTACACCCCTACTCCGGCACTTGGGAAAGCTGGTTGGTCCCAGTGACCCACCTGACCAGCTCAGCTAGCACCCAAACACACATCCAGGGCTTTGAGGTGATCTGCCGAACATCTGCCTCATCTCTGACCTGCTGTAGGGCTGAAGGTTCTGGTCCCACAGAAGCACAGCCATGGGATCTCCGTTACTGTCACTATGGCGGGATATCTGAGAGGAGTCTCGGTGCAGGTCCAGTATTGCTGGTGTATCGGAAGCCACAGACCTTGAAACTGACCAACAACACATTGCACAGTGAGCATGTGCAAGTAAAGCTGTCTGGACCAAAGGGTCCACTGTGTGGCACACAGCAGCTCCCAAGGCCATCAAGACAAATGAAGAGGCGATGGAGAGGCAAGAAAGAGGGAGCAAAGTGGTTTTTGTTGTTTGTTTGTTTTTGTTCTTTGCTTTTAATTAATGTTCTTATTTTTACTTTATCTTTATTATTTCTTTTCTAGTTTTCCTTTGGGTGGGGGAGTTGCTACAAGGGTAAAGGGCAGATATGGAGGGACTGGGAAGTGAGTGAGATTGGGGTGCATGATGTGAAATTCCCACAGAATCAATAAAAGATATGTTAAAAACCAAAAATAACAGCAACAACAAAAAGCCAAGTATATGCTACCATGTCCGGTATCTTACACGGGTAACTAGGGACAGAACTCTGACCTCACATGTTTGTAAAAGTAGTTTACTAACTGATCCATCTCCCCAGCCTCCCAGGTAATCTTCTAAAATCTGAGAATACAGAACTAGGTCAGGTCCTGGAGGGAACAGACCAACGCCTTCCAATTGTACTTGGGAAGGTTTATTTTGCTTTCCAAAATTCTCTTGAGAAGCTGTTTAGAGGTGTGAGGGTGCCAGAGGCAAAAGGAATAATTATGTCCCCAAAGCATCCATTTTTCTGCCCAAGAGCACTGGAAATGGAGTGGCAGAAGCCACCATTATCCATGGTGATTTATTTCATGCCAGCACCATCACAGCCAAAGTCATCCTCACCACCACCACAGGTGAGTCAGCACAGGGCCTGCCTGAGGCAGGTAGGGCCATTATCTGTGTGAAAGTGATTGTCATAGGGAGCCTTAGCACACAGCTGTCAGCCAAGAATGATCCCTGACTCAGTGAACAAGGGCCTTCATGCTCAGCCAAGGGTTTACGAGAAGTGTCCCACAACACCCTCTGCTCATAAAGCACTGAGGAAGCTGTAGAACCAGGGAGCTCTGGGTGTTGGGGCGCACAGTCCCCACATATACCCAATACATATATACAACAATGGCATGTGTAAGATTGCTTGGGCAGACCTAATTATAATAGTTAGCAGGTACCAGAAACAATCCGAAAGTTTGTCTACGGCATGAGGGAAAATAAATTGTAGCTTGTTTATGCAATGGAAACTCATGATGCATGAAGACCACATAGATAAATTACTCAGATATATTTATGGATTGAAAGAAGTCAAAACCAAGGATAGAAAAAATAATATATGTTAATAATGAGTAGGAAAGTGGGAATGTACCCAAAGGGTTATTTAGCTACGGGCCTAGAAGAGGAAGTTCAAACCCCCACAAGATACTACCAGCAACTACAGAAGACATCTAGTGACAAGCACATAGCATTGACTCCGCAAAGAGAGAGGTTCCCATCCCACCTTCCTTGGTCTCTTCTTTACATTTTACAGGAGGAAGGAAAAACAGATGAGAGGAATGATGGGGAGGTAAGAGAGGAGAGAGATGTAATCAGCGGAGCACCCCACAGCTTCCAGTCTTCCGTGTGTCTTGTTTTTCTCTTTCCCCAGTAAGAGTGTTGTGTTACTGAGCGGACTGTTTTTTCACGATTCCCTTTTAAGCTACAAGAGAAGCAAGAAAGACATGCAAAACACAAGTCTTGTGCTGTTTCATAAATGTGTATGAATACAAAGGAATTAGAGCGTGGAAGCTCAGCACATACATGAAACATCAATGTAACGGCATAAGAAGCTTTTATGTGATGTTGTGTGCAAGACCATCCCTGAAGCATCAATGCTGTGAGCGAGGGAACTGTATGTGACCAGATACATCTTTGCAGGGTAGGGAGGGATGTGGGGGAGCTAGAAAGGCAGAAAGATGCAGTCTCCTTGTTTCCCACCTAATACTTGTCCATTTTTTAGTTAGTAAGCTAAAGATGAACAATTGAAAGCCCTGGTTTTATTTGAGATGTGTATAGTTGACTCCATTCATTCTCACAGCCAGGTCTGACTGCACCACTGGTGTCTAGCCAGTTATAAGCACAATGCTTCACAGGGTCCCAGGAAGACAGCAGACTTGTCTGGACGTTGCGGCTCCATTTCTATTTTTATGGACATGACGTCTGGTATCCTGCCATCCGCTTTCAGCCACAAGGCTGCTCACCTCAGTTGTGGAGCAGAAAGAAAGCTGGGGATGCTGACAGAAAGCTTCTATGTAGACCCCAGGCTGCTTGCCTTTAAACTTTTTGTCCTCAGAGAAAAATAGAACCTGTGTCCTCACAGCTATTCAAATGATGTTCGTTCTAGCTAACCTAGGCCAAAAAGACCACAACTTCCTGTCCTGCTACTAAAACAGATACAGATAAAATGATATGTTGACGTAAGCCAAGACATGAGAACCAAATAGTGATAGTATACATGATAGTATACATTTGTAGACCCAATACTGAGGAAGGAGAGACAGGAGGACCTGGGGGGGGGGGTTGTTGGTCAGACCACCAAGCCAAATAGACAAGCTCCAGGGTCCATGAGAGACACTGTCTCAAAATAACAAGGAGGAGGGTAACTGAGGATGACGGCTGACACCGATCTCTGGCCTCCCCTATGTAGACACATAGACAGACAGACAGACAGACAGACACACACACACACACACACACACACACACACACATACATGCACGCACACCTAAATAAAATAAAATTACAAGCCGGGCAGTGGTGGCCCACACCTTTAATCCCAGTACTTGGGAGGCAGAGGTAGGCATATTTCTGCATTTCAGTTCAAGGTCAGCCTGGTCTACAGAGCGAGTTCCAGGACATCCAGGGCTTCACAGTGAAACCTTGTCTCAAAAAAACTAAATATACTAAATATTATACTAAATAAGTTATATTTAAGCAATATTAATAAAGACTATGGGTTGCATGCCCTTGAGATGATTTCCATCTGCCTTGTTTTCCCAGAAAGCAACTAGATAAAACCTGAGATTGAACATCTATCTCTTCCTGACGCCACATTCCCTGACCTGATGCTGCTGACTTGAGCCCAACCAGGGAGGTAGCAATTAAAGGGGTATTTATCGGAGACTACGTATCAGGCCATTTTTGTTCTATCTTTCCTTCCTTCCTTCCTTCCTTCCTTCCTTCCTTCCTTCCTCCCTCCCTCCCTCCTTCCCTCCTTCCCTCTTTCCCTCTTTCTTTCTTTCTTTCTTTCTTTCTTTCTTTCTTTCTTTCATTCTTTCTTTCCTCCAGAGAGCTTGCTGGCAAACATTTGTACCACAGTAGCACTGAGAGGGCTGAATGCTACCCCTTGAGATGATGTTTGTAAGACAGAAATGCTGGGAGGAAGCCAAATGTCCATCATCAGGGAGAGTGTTAAACAAACCCCAGGGACAGCCACACACTGTTCGATTCTACAAGCATGGGAAGGAACGAGGAAGAGACCTCCAGAACAAGGGCTGCACAGAGCAGGGTTAAGCAGAAGAAGGAATGAGGAAGAATTCTTCACTGTGAATGAGCACTAAGCTGTATTGTTCAGCGAAGAAAAGCAAGCACAGGGCAGGGCTCATAAAATGCCACCTGTGTGGAATCAACAGAGGAGGTGTGAATGGAAGCGCCTGTCTGTATTTTCTAAGACAGAAGACAGGCCCAACCAAAGGCTTCCACAAACTGAACTAATCACTACCTGCCCTGGGAGGGAAGGACTCAGGAAAAAGAAGAAGAAGAAAAACTTTCTGGCTGTGTTCTTCCAGAGTTTTGGTGAGTTAAGGGGAGGGTTTTTGTTATTGTTTTTTTATTATTATTCTTTTTTACATCATTTAAAATTTATTGAGGGCTGGCAAGATGGCTCAGCAACCAAAGGTTAAGCCTTTAGCTTAATTCCAGGCCTGACCTCCCAAGCTCAATTCCGGGTCCCACATGGAGGAAGGAGAGGACTCTCCCAGACTCTCTGAGTCTCACATGCACTCTGTGGCATGCACATGCCCCCTAAGATAAACAGAAAAACAAATAAATGTCTTCTTAAAGTGTTTACTGAACTTTTTAGAAATGAATTTCTAAAATTTAAAAGCAAATAGGAAACCATAATCCTACGTGGGTGTCAGACCAAGGGCATAGATACATCGCTGACCTGTGTGGAATGACCCCTAACTGCATATGTTGACTGCGCATCCCCTAACGCCCTAGGTCTTGGGGCCACAGGGACCACCAGGACATCAAGTTTCAGTCCGTGGGCTTGTTACTAGAACTAGTAAGACTTAATAAAACTAAAAACTTTGGGGAAGGGGCACTGTCTCCGCGGGTCAGGTGTCTGTTGCACAAGTATAAGTACCTCAGTTCAAGCCCCCAGCAGCCACATATGAAAGGCAGGCATGACAACGTCCAGATGTGGTTCCAGCACCGGGGATGGGGAGGCAGGAGGCCTCTTTCTCCTGCAAAAGTTAGGAAACACGGACAGCATGGTCCCCAAGAACCCTGTCCCCAAGACTGTAGTTGTAGACAAATGCTCATTTGAAACTCTGAAAATAAAATGCGAGGGCTTTTATTGGTTAAATATGGGGCAGCTTGCACATGTGACTAGAACACTCTCATCTACCCGTAACACGTTAAATCCACGTATTCACAATGGTACGTTGAGAAAGCTCCCGGCAGTCCCAATCCAAAGTTGCTAGTGCGCCCGTTTGTTCCTGAGAAAACCAAACGGTCCCATTATTTCTGTAGGAAATCTACTTCAGGCCGACCAAATAGTTCATTTCAGAAAATGTGTTCAGAGCGAAGGCAAGAACCAAGTGAGGTAGCAAAGGAACTGTGATCCCAGAACTCACCTGGAAGACCGTTTGGGGATCTTTAATTGGAGACCAGTTGTACCAGTACCTTATAAAGAGAGACAGAGACCAAGAAGCGGCCGGGGGTGGGGTGGGGGCACATGTAAAATCCTTGGCATCATGCACAAAGGGGAATAATAAAATCAGGATGAATTAAATTGAGTGGCCTCCATCATAACCGAAGATGCTCACACACCGAGGAAAGTCATGGGGGAACGTGTCACAGGCGAGCCAGCGGACACCAACGTTCACGTGTTAAACTGCAGATTGCTGGATATCCGACCTCCGACTTAGCCACCTGCAGAACACACGGAGGATAGAGAATCAAGTAGGCTGTCACCAGGCAGCAGTACAGAATGTGGGGAACTGTGCGGAACAGATAACCTGGTCTCTTTAACAAGTAGATGAAACCAAGAACAGTTGAAGCAGGAAAGAGGCCTTGAAAAACGAGCGAGCCCGGTGTGGCGGCACACACCTGCAATCCCATCCCGTGGGAGCTGCAGACAGAAGAATCAGGAGTGCAAGGTCGTCTTTAGTGAGTTTGAGGCCAGCTTATGCTACCTAAGAGCTTGCCTCAAAAAGTTAAGTAGGACAAAAAATGTTGGATAATGAAAGTGACGTATGGATTTATCTAGAGTCTGACATCCATTTGGTCATTCTCCATGGCTCTGACAGACTTACAATGTAGCATGGCTGAAATTTGTGGCTGTGAAGATGTATTTTCTACCTTCTCCTGGTAGGATCCAGGGCCTCACGCCAGTGCTGGGAACACAGCAAAAAGAGTCTGTGTGGAGGCAGTACATATAGGTTCCCCGGATTCTAAGTCATCTTTTCATTTATAGTGACTCCCAGGCCAGTACACAGGCATCAATAATAGGATAATTGGGTGTCTTAGGGTTTCTACTACTGTGAAGAAATGCCATGACCATGGCAACTCTGATAAAAGAAAACCTTTAATTGGGGTGGCTCACTTATAGGTCAGAGGGGTTCAGTCCATTATCATCACAGTGGGACGCGGCAGCATGTAGGTAAACATGGTGCTGGAGAAGGAACTGAGAGTTCTACATCTTGATCCACAGGCAGCAGAAGGAGACTGTGTGTCACACTGGGCATAACTTGAGCATATGAGACCCACAAAGCCCACCCCCACAGTGACACACTTCTTCTAACAAAGCCACACCTACTCCAACAAGGCCGCACCTCCTAACAGTACCATTCCCTATGCACCAAGTATTCAAACACACAAGTCTATTGGGGGGGGCAATACCTATTCAAACTCACACACTGGGTTCACACACTGTTCTCAGCTTCATCAACCTTTTCTTCTGACTGTGAGCTGATGGGTGCACTTGGGATGGGAAGGAGTCACCAGCAGACAGTTTCCTACATAGGCAACAGGGTACAGAGTAGTTACTCTTTTCTCTAACCCACAGCCTCTTCCTGGACAAAGCCACTAACCCTTTCCCTACACCCCTTCTTCTTCCTACTGGGTCACTTGTGGTGAGTTCTTCTTCTCCTTCACCATGTCTCATTCCCTGTCTGGGGCACATGCAGAACTCGGTGGCAGAGATCTTCCACGTTAGGCTTTGATAGCAAATGGGGAGACAACAAAAGAAAGTGCATGTCCCTGCCGATAGTAACACGGGTTTCCATTACTAATCATGCGTATATGCAAGAGAGGAGCGCTGTGGTCAGTTTCGAATCCTCTGTAGCACATTCTTCCTCCTCCCCCCCGGTCCACCAAGCATACGAAGATCTCAGCTAGCTGAGCAAAGAGTATGTATGTGCTTGGAAAGGCAGGTGCAGGAGAAAGATACATCACAAACAGCATGTCACGATTCTTCCACATGTCACTGGAACTGTGATGTACAAATGTCGTTTACTATTTTCAAGTCCATGAGTGATAAATGACTGTATCCTCATTGTATGGAAACACCCGGCCCAGGTTGATAGCTTATTTTTGACACTTCCAAGTATAGTCTTATGGCAGGCATGGTGGTACACACCTGTTGTCCTAGCACTTGGGAAGTGGGGGCGGGGTGGAGGAATCAGAAGTTCAGGGTCATTCTTGACTATATAGTGAGTTAGAGAACAGCCCAGGCTACAGAAGACACTGTCTCAAAAACAAGCAAAGAGGCACCCGACTGTGTTTATCAACCTAATATTTCCCCTGTGCTTCCCATGTAATTTGATATTGTTGTTTTTAAGAGACAGGGTTCTGCTAGGTGACCTAGGCTGACCTCCAAGTTGAGACCCTGTCTTAGCCTCCTTTAGCTCTAGGATGCACACCTGTGCTTATAAGCAACATTCTGCTACAATGTTTTCATTCTCTGCTTGGCACTCTGCGCTTAGCCTCTGCACACTGAGTCTTTGTCAGTCTCTGCTAGTTAATAGAATTCCAAAGACCTGGGTTAAGCAACTTTTGTTCACATCTTTGGATGGCGTTTGTTTGTTTGTTTGCTTGTTTTGGTAGAAATATCACAGGTTTTGGTTCAGGTGGGTGAAGAATATAAGCAGATTTTTAAACAGTTTTTCTTGATGGGTGATGGTGGTGCTTGCCTTTAATCCTAACACTTGGGAGGCAGAGGCAGACGGATCTCTGTGAGTTCAAGGTCAGTCTGGTCTACAGAGTGACCGTTGCAGCTAGGACTGTTACACAGAGAAACCCTGTCTCGAAAAACAAAACAGAACAGAAAAAAAAAGTTTTTTCTTAACATATATGAATTATACATATAATGGGTTCCATTATGACATTTTAATACTTGTACATAAAGCATTTATTTCTATTGTATTCATGTCCCCCATAACCTTCGGCTCCCCTTCTGCTCCCTCTAACACTAATCCTCCTCTTCCCAGTTTGCCTTTCTACTTTCATGGCTTTTCTGACAAGACTAACCAGGGTTGTTTACAGCATTCTCTGATTTGACACCTGCTCCATAGGAGATAAGTCATATCTGATACTGTAAATCCACAGAAAAAGCCACAGCTGGGAGGTCACAGGCCCTACCACAGGCTCTGATGTTGTTCTGCGACACAGACATCTAAGTCTGTCAACAGCTAAATTACTGTGTCTGTGCCCACAGGTTAGTGCTGTCGTCAGCCCTGGTCAGAAAAGCTCCCTGCAGCAGTCCTCAGTGACATAAACTCAAAGCTGGTCGAAAAGTTCTGATTTAAAAAAAAAAAAAAAGGTACATATTGCATAGTTATCCTCAAGAAAGAAATCATAGTATTTTCTAGATACAGAAATGCAGGGCACACTATTGTCCATTTCTTCCGGGTTTTCCTAAATATTAAATGACAAACATTAAAATTATACAAAACCTAACTATGTATTTTATCCTCAGACTTTTGTCCACTGGGTAAACAAGTTGGGGCTAAATTTGCATTTCTTTGACTTCTAATAAAATTGAAACTTTTTTGTTTCAGACAGATAGATAGAGAGATCAATAGATAGGTGATAGATGATGGTAGTTAGATAGATGAATGATAGGTAATGATGATGGTGATATCTAGATAATGGATGGATGATAAAATAGATGATGATGGATAGGTAGATCGATGATAGATAGATGACAGATAGGTAGATGATAGATGATAGAAAGATAGGTAGGTAGATAGATGGATGATAAATAGATGATAGGTAGACAGATGATGGATAGATGTATAGATAGATAGATAGATGATGGATAGATAGATAGATAGATAGATAGATAGATAGATAGATAGATAGATAGA